CCCCAAAACCCCAAAACCCCAAAACCCCAAAACCCCAAATAAAAGCAGTAATGGATAATAAATTTTAAATATGAATATCTGAAGCATTATCCTCCTTCTTGCTGGGCTGGGTATTGGAGTGTTTGTGTACTTCACAACACTCTTTGATCAACCAATGAGTTATAAGTATGGAGAAACCTCTGACCAAAATAAAGCAGAGGTTGAACCTTTAGAGGCACTTGCTACAAATATTTACAAGTAAGTCTTACCTTACTCATCTTGATAAACCAAGGGAGCTTATAAATAAAATATAGAGAGAATAAGAACATCAATTCTCTTTTAAAGTCACTTATGACCACGAAGTTCTTCAGGATCTTCAGGACAAACTTGCTGAGAGATTGTGAGTTCTTTAAAAAGAAGCAGAAATGTATCCTAGGCAAGTGCCCTGTCTATGAAGAGGAAGAATACAATATAACTCACATTAAAACTTATATCGTAAATAAAACTTTGGATTCGAAAACTCAGGAATTTACAAAGCATATCCCTATCGAAGAGTACGTTGATCATTCCGATGGCTGGATGGTGGATGAGCATCTAGATGAGGAAGGGTCTTTCTTAGACATACAAAAGAACCCTGAGAGGTTCACCGGATACAATGGCTCAATCATTTGGAATGAGATTAATAAACAGACACAGCTCAACCATAATTTCTCAACTCCTGGACCTCACCAAGATTTTCTGTATCGTATTGTTTCTGGTCTTCATTCAAGTATTAGTACTCATATCAGTAAGTTCTACCTTGACGATATTGAGGCTAGAGAAAACTTTTCATTGATTGACTTCTACACCAACTACGATATTTTCTACGAGAGAGTTGGAAAATATCCTGATAGGGTGAAGAATCTCTTCTATATATATGGATTTTTCCTAGATGCTTTGAACCATATTATTGCGAATCTGCCTCATTATACTTACTATGCTGACGATGAATCTAAGAACCAGAGGATTCAGAACAGAATGCAGTGGTTCGGACACTATGTTTCAAAAATAAAAAATACTGAAAAGATTCATGATGGCCTCTACAATGATATTTCAAAGAAGGAGTTGGCAGAGAAGATCAAGCCGATGTTCCGTAATGTTACAGAACTTTTGAATTGAATTGCATGTGATGTCTGTAAATTCAACGCTAGAATCCAGTTTGTAGGAGTAGCAACTATGCTGAAGATCCTCTTTACTGAGGAAGGCAAGAAAGTTGTTCTTTCCGAAAATGAATTAGTTGGATTAATGAACACAATTTTTAGATTATCTAATAGTATAAAATGGTATGAAGAACAACAAGATCATGAAGCTGGTGAAGCCTTCTTTAAGACAATGATGTATTGAATAGCACTAGCAATCGCAGTGATTCTAATAATCCTAGCAATAATGGTACACTGCATTTCTAGCTCCAGGAAGGACGAAGAGAGAGTTCCACTCAGAATGCAAGATGCTTTAAGGACTTAGATTTTTATGAAGGAATTCGAAAATTTAAGAGTTCAACTGGAGGTTCTTGAGCTGGGGTTTTGGGGTTTTGGGGTTTTGGGGTTTTGGGG